TTGCTCAAGCCTGCTTAGCCGTCTCAATGGGGAGTTTCCAAGCTATGCAGATTTTCACTACTATTGTAAAGATAGAACACGTACTCAATACGTTCCCCCTCTTCTTTCCAATTGGTTGCATATTTCCTTTAGAGTCGACTTACTTGCTTGTTTCCGCCGAAATCGTACCCAACTACTAGTGTTTCTAGGTACCTCAAGTCTCCCTCTCTCAGGATTAGCCTATGAAGTGCGGGGAGAACCAAGGTGTGACTCTTGAGAAAGATCCACAGTCCATTGTCTGATACTTACAAACCTTTCTCAGGGGTTGTCAGGTACTGATCTCGTTTACCATATCATACTGACCTGAAACTGTAACTAAACGCACGTTAAGGCAGAGTCCGAGATTTGTCCTCAAAGTAGGTTGCTCGGGAACTCAAAGCGCCTTATCTGCTCTCGCTATATGGGTATAACATAAATATTTTATGCAGATTGTGAGGGCTTTAAAAACCTGATCAGTCCGGAAATGACCCGCTCATAAGACGTGAGCAATTAGCATGAGAAACTCTTTTCTATTCATCATGATCTTTGAGTTTTGTGATTGATTTCCACTTGATAGCACGAGTCTGAGTACAAAGTTAGATATGCACAGGGAGTAGCCGTTCTAAGCGTGAGACATGCCCAGGCCAGATTTGGCTTGACGAGACTGAGAAAAGGAAGCGCTCCCACGCGACCCAGTATTCCAGGCAGTCGCTTTGTAATTAAACGTTCGACCTAGTATCGAGGAATCGCTAGTCCCACACGCAGATAGGCCCAGCCTCTGGTGAGCTGATTCATATTTAGTTATGAAATTCCGTTCCTGATTAGTAGAACTTGTCTGCGAGGTATTACTTCTAGCTATACGAGGTGCGATGGCATTACGAAAGCAGATCCAGACTGCATGTTGCACAGGGTATCGACTAGTTTACCTCACTGCAAATTGTAACTTGTGTCTTAGGCAGGGCACCTTTTCTCTCCAGTCTCATTCAGTAGTGATACACAAAGAGTGTCTCCAGAGCGGTTAGCCTCCATTCAAATAAATTCCATGGGGATTCGGCACCAGACCATATTTCGGATGAAAGTTACAGAGACATCCCATGCTCAGGAAGGGATTAAAGGCATGAGTATTTCTGGTACAAGTTTCCAACTGGGCGGAGAGGCCTTGCGGGCAAGACCTGCCTCTATCCGTTATGTCATCTTTGTAATTAACGTCTGACCCCAACTTGTCAAGATAAGTCCGGGAACACAACTCAATCCGTGTTGGAGGAGATGACTCAAAGTTCGAAGCATAGTCAGGTTCGGTTAGATGAACTCAGATGTGACGTATGCTATAATTTCATACCGCAACTCAGAGCTCATGATTCAGCTTGAGACAGTTCCCACTTAGAAACACACCGAATTACTAGCAACTATGGGTGCTCAGATATAACGCAGGGTATTCCTATGGCAATCTCTATACCATCCTCAGTGAGTGGCCCTTGACACAGTGGCTTATAGGAAGCTTGCACCCAGCATGTAAATCTTCATTCTCAGATTACTCTCATGTATCATGCGAATCAGACACTTACAAATTCGGGACATCTGCAACAAACAAGGTTTAACCCCTGACGTGACTTGAGCAGAGTAAAGTCTATCAGTCCCCATCAAGTAGAAATTTGGCAAGAAGATAAGCAATATCCCTCACGACTACTCTCTTCATGCCCATTCATACTCGATTCGGGAGAGGTAGCTTTACGCTTGTCAAGGTTGTCTTTACACTCTACGTTAATGTCGTAAATCGAGTTAGAAAGACGACACAGAAACAAACATTGTTGTATCTGATCATGAGCGCAGTCCAATCACTCTCAACGCAATGGGTCTTTGCCGAGAGACGGGAAGTGGTGACACAGTAAGAGTAACCTGCTCACTGCACTGGGACAGAAACGAAGGCTGGGAAGACGGGGTGGCACAGGACCTCCGTTATCAAACGAGACTCATGATGGAACATGCTCTGACACTAGTGAAGGATCAGACACTAATCGAGTACACCTACTACATTCATGGGTCAAGCGGAAAACTGCACAACACCTTTTCATCCGTGGGATTCGTTGAGGAGGCCAGGAAAGCTATTGTTGCTGAATAGTAAGAAGGATCCAATCACCGACTCTAAGATAGACGTACAAGCATTAGACAAAGACAAATTAGGGGGGACGAGCCAGATTGGAGACTGGTCACAATTGGACAAGCAGTACACCATCCGAAAACGACCAGCAGTCGAAACAGCCACGTCACTGAGGCGGGCTAGTAAACCTGAGAAAGCCAGAGAGGCAGTGGCTATCCTACACATGAGTACAATTCAGTCATTTCCGGTCAGTGGGTCAGTATTGACCAATCTCAATCAGATTGCACTCAAAGAGGCAATTCAATACCAGTATGTCAGCGCAATCCGTTTCAGGTAGGGAGATATATCAATCTTCGTTGTCCTCACGATTTTTGTGGAAGGTACAATTTATGACCTGAGATCCTATCTAAAGAGAGGTCAAGAGACTCGTGAGCATTTCGATTCCGTCTGGATTTCAGCAGCTAGCTATCTTGAGAGGAGAGAGCGTGAGCTTGATGAAAGTGGAACAAAGCTGATCCGCAGTTTTGGACCCAAGCTCTACGTTGACTATCCCAATCCGCCAGTCCCTTCTAGATAGCGACTTGGCGAAGAGGTACATCTCACCAACTCAGATTAACTATCAGACTTTGACGGAGCCTTCAAAGTTCGAGCATCTCAGACGGGGAATTTTCTCCAGACCCTATCTACCTACACTATGGGAAGAGTTCTGCTCCATGATTGACTTTCGGGTCATGTACCTTGGATGGAAGTGTTCAGAGCTCGCAGGCTTCAGGTGGCTCTACATACAGAGGCCACACCCTCAAAAAGTACGAAAACACGCCCGAAAACACAAGGAACAGACAGTAAAATTGAGAGATTGAGTGAGAGGTTCAGAGGGATGAGTGAGGACTTCTGACTAGTGCTGGCCATGCTTCCTACATGTGTACTTTTTGAGATTATTACGAGTTCTCATTCTTCCCTCCCTTAACTTTGTCTGTGCTCGAGTCTGTTAGTCGTGCTCCTTGTTTTGCTTTGCTGATGATTGCATTCTCTGATGATTATGTCATAGTTCTCAAAGTTAGTAAATTGGCAAAATTGATGCATGCATGACATGTCGGAATTCTATGATTATTATTTGCATGATTCTCTGCTGTTCCGAATCAAAATTAAAGATTCCTAACACCGGGGACCGGCGAAAACCGCAATTGAAGGGTCTCGCTCGAAGCCGTACGCACACAACAGGGAGGGATTCGCTCAATTTAACTTATTTTATAGTAAACAACCCCCAAAATCCTGCGTGACAGCCTGTTGGCTTTCCGGTCGCCCGAAGCGGTCCGACTGGGAAAAAGTGCGACACCGCGGCACCCTTCCGAAATCAGGCTTAGTCGTTATCCCGCGGACTCAGTGGGTTCGAAGGGAGGTGTTTGAGACCTATCTTGGGAAGGCATTCGTCTGTTTGACCGTGAGCAACGAAGGTGACTTGTTGGTCGAGCGAGCTAGGATCTTCCTTTCGAAAGAGCGGCTCTTAGAAGCAATTTTGAGCTTTAAGCTTGGGGAAGACCCTCTTTGGCACGTTCAGCCCGTAAAGACCAAACTGGAAGAGATAGTTAGTGAAGTAGTGTCATTAGGGGAACACCGGATAGCGCACCGAGTAATATACGCGGGATTGGAGGAGGTGTCGTATTTTGCGACTAGCAGCCCAGTGGAAGTACCCAGGTTCATCCTCGAAAGGATCTATCCCTCTGCGGAGGTTAGGGAGGCAGTAGAAAGGAGGATCTCGATTCTAAACCAGTTTCGTTTTACGGAGTCTGATTTACACGCCCTTTTAACGTGGTGCTTTCAAAACCCAAGTCGTAACGATTGGTCCTGGTTAAACGACCTGGGGTACACGTTTGAGGGTTGGGGTCAACATGTGAGGAACTCAACCGTCTCGTGGAGGTACCTTGGACAGATTTGCGAGACTGGGCTGGAAGGCCTCGACCCTTCGGAGCTCATTCGCATTACCATTGCTTGCAAGAGAAGGAACATCAGCCATGAGTGAGCTTAACAATCAGGAGCTAGCGGGGTTAGACAGGGTGAGGACAAAGCTTTATAGGGTCCTGACCCTTTGTTGGGAAGAGCAGAGAAGGGCGAGACCTGGGTCCCTGGCTCAGATAAAAGCACTCAAGAAGGTAACCATTCAGGTCTTTGACAAGCAGAGGGAGGAGCTGGTCCTTGGAGGAAGACAGGCATGAGAGCTAGCTTTTCCTTAGATTCGATAATTTGGGAATTAGAGACCCGAGACGAAAGCTCCGAAGTAGAGGTAGAAGGGGTAACAGAACCAGCTGCGGGGCTTCAAGAAAACCGGGAGTCTAGGGCCGAGAAGGAATTTTTCGTAGAAATCTGAAGGCTTGCGTTGTGGAAGAGACGGTCGTGGACCTCCTTAGCCAAATTTTTTATTATCATTTGTGAGTCAGGAGCTATCCGCCTTTCGAGAGAGTGGAGGGAGCCACTGCTAGAAGTTGCGCGAAGATTTGAGGAAGACGCTAGGTGGTAGGAGTACCATTGGAAGCAAGGATACACTTAATAGAGGCTCGTTTCTGGGATAGGACAGGAGAATATGAGCGGGTCCTGCGACAAGTCTTAAAAGGTGTGGGGGGAAGCGCTAGACAAAGGTGCGAAGCTTCCTTGAACGCGACTGCTGAGAGATTAGCCGAGGTAAGGTAAAGCAGTTGATGATTGGGTACGACCAGGGTAACCCCGTCGGAATCCTGAAGTGAGCTTGGAAGTTGGGGGGAAGATATGGGGTGATCTCCCTAAGATAAGGACGGAAGAAGCAACGCTTGTGGAGTACTTTGAGGTATACAGCCAAGGAACAATTATTCATTTTTCGGTGGTCTCCAAGAACGACATCCGTATACGAAAGGCGAAGATCTTCCTATCCGACGACGATAGGCAGCTCTTCACGACCAAGCTAGCGGAAGGGAAAGACCCCCTGGCATTGCAAAAAAAACTATGGGTCGGCTTAAAAGACCAGGAGGAAATCACTCGGAGGAACACATTCTGGACGGAGTTGAATATCGGGGCCGACAGGAGATTCCTCGGGCGGCTCACGGCAGGACGTGGGAAATCCTCACCTGGGCATACAAATTACTCTACGCTAACGACTCGGAGAAGTTTCCCTTGGCCCGGGAAACAGGAGGGCACGAGCTGTTCACCCGATGTTGGGAATCTCAAGATAGCGCAGACAATGAATGGTGGGCGCAAGTGGGAGAATTCATTAAGCCCTTATTTCGCGGTCGAGTGGGGGAAGTGGATAGGAAATTGTTTTCGGGAGAGGATTGGGAGCGTCCCTGACCTGGAAATCGTTCGTCTAGCACTTGCGGCTTACGAGGAAAAGCTGGTACGAGATTCCTGGTGGACCGCGACAAGCGAAGAGTCGGCGGAAAGTAGCCAGGGAGGAGTGTCGAGTGAGGGGGAGGGGAGCTCAAAAGAAAGCAGCAGTAATAAAGAAGAGGTAGGGCAAGATAGTGACACTAGCGAGGAGGGCGAGTAGTGAGGGACGATAGGGCGCATGGAGAGTGAAGTCAAACCTAAGCACTCACAATTGTTTGGGTTGCCGGAAGTTGCGAACATGAAAGGAGCGGATCTGGGGGTGAGGCTAAGTAGGGAAACAGGAGGGGTGACGGAACAGGTGAGTGTCAGGGATAGAGATGAGAGGAGCTCGGATCGACCCCTCGGAGAAAAAAACACCACCACAAGGCAAAAGACCGAGACTGAAATGCATTCACATAGAGACGCATGTCGGTGAGAGGACGGGTAGCGGAGGCTACGAGGGGCGTTCCTATGGAGACTCGGTGGGTCGACCAGATGGATGTGGAGGAAAGGGGCAGAAGAGGCCAGGTAACGACACATGATAGGACGAGTGGCTGGGGACCTCGAAGGAACGAGGAAGGTGGATCAAGATGTAGAGAATTATTCGAGGAACGAGGTTTGGGACCAATTGAAGGTGCGCACCGATGGGCAAGGGGCCCCAAAAATAAAAATGAGACACCATCCGGAACGTTGCCGGGGACCAAGTGGACCCAAATAATAAAAATCGAAAAACGGGACACGCGCCGGCGGGACAAAAAAATGGAACTAGGATGGAGGAAAGTGGCGGGGACTTGGGATGTCCAAGGGAACCATGAGCAAGCACAAGGAATAATTGTGCAAGCAAACGACACCGTCGAGTTCAAGGATCTAGACGGTGAAAAATATTAGTAGGGGCAAGTGGGAGAGCCATGGGGAGAAAAGAAAGCAAAATCATGGTGTTTGGAGGGCTGCCCAGCAGTCCGAGATATCTCGGACTAGCTATGCATGAGAAAATAGAGCCTCAAGAGGCTCAACATGAGGAAAAGGCTGTCCTCATAAAATCGGAGCAAACGGGGCTCAAAATTGGACAAACGGAGGCAAAAGGGAGCCCTCTAGGAGCATGGGGGTGACATTGTTGGAATCCGAGATATAATGGCCAAGTAACAGCCATGAACCTGACCTTGAATAAGGCCCTAAGGCCTAGAAAGAGGGTGCACAGTAGTTTGACCCTTGTCACAACTGATATAAAAGAAAAAAAAAGAAAAATAAGAGAAAAAAGAGGGCGAATGAGACAAAAAGGGAGAAAAGAGTGGAGGACAGTGTGCCGGCCTATTGGGACCTGCACAGTAGGGATTGGCAGGTCCCAACTCTGACCTCATCCCTCCTAGAATGAGGGAGGGCAATCCGGATTGCAGAGATATGGCCATATCTCAATGAAATCTGAATAAAAAAGGAGAAAATAAGAGAAAATGCAAAAAGGAAATGGTCGGTTTTCTTTTGGACCATGGATCTGAGATCAGATCTCATGGTGGAGAGGAACTAGCCGTTTTTTTAGGGCTAGCTCAAAACGGCTAGCTCCGGAATGAGGTGGCAGCCCAAAATGGAAAGAAACAAAAGAGAGAAAAGGACAAAACTGTGCATTTGGCCCAAAAAGAGAGCCAGATGCACCAAATATTGGAAAAGTGGACTTAGGGGTTCAAAATTGAAGCAAGGGCTACTTGGGGGAGGCAAGGAATATTGTTGGCCTTGGATCTTGGCCAGATCCAAGGCAGGAAATGTATCGCTGCGTGGAAAAATATCTCGGCCTACCAAAAATGAGGTTCAAACTGAAAAAATCGAGAAAAAGGCCTATTAAGTAAAATTGCCCCTTGGGCATTAGGACCCAAGGGGGCAGCATTTGAGAGGTGAAAAGGAGGCCGGAGTAGGCCAAGAGGCAATCCGAGTTGGTACCAACCACTCGGAGAACCTCCGGAAGGGCCTAGTAGTGGAATTTTGCCTTGGGGGTACCTTGGTTCACCTCAAGGCACATGGGGAGGCTCATGGGCTGGCCGGACTGCTGGTTTCAACCTACATAAGCTGGGAATTCAGTCCGCCACTTTCACAATTGCATGAGGAGTGCCCATGCTGCCCAAGTGAGCTCATGAGAGCACTCTTTCACTTGGAGAGAGGAGAGGAGAGCCCATGCCAGTTTGGGAGCTTGGTGGAGGCCATGAGCTAGGGAGAGGAGCTCTAGAGACTAGAGGTAGTGAGGCTGGCACTAGGGGAGTGATCCGCCATAGCCCCCAGGGTGTGAGGAAGAGAGAGATGCTAGAGGGAGTCCCATTAGCCCTCCTAGAGGGGAGAACTCCATAGCCATGGTGATGGGAGCTTGAGGCAACTTGGGAAGAGGTAAGAAAGGAAAAAGAGAGGCTTGAAGAAGGAGGGAGCCATAGCCAAGGAAGAGTTGTGCAAGGAGGAGGAAAGCCTCATCAAGATTAAGACTCCATCTCCAAGACATTAACAAGGTGAGTGGAAGGAAGAGGATGCATCTTCTTCTTCATCTTGTTCTTCACCTTCTTCTTCATTCTTCTTCTTCTTCTTCTACTTCTTCTTCGTCTTCCTCTCCTTCTTCTTCTTCCTCTTCTTCTCCTTATTCTTCTTCTTCTTCTTCATCCTTACCTTCTCCGTATTCTTCATCTTCTTCCTCTTCTCCTTCTTCTTCTTCATCTTCTTCTTCTTAGTTGGGATACTCAAACTCTTGGTTCTCATTCACACACGAGTAGGTAGTGCTCCGATTCTTCTATGGATGATTTCATGTTGGTTACTTGTGATTTGGGTTACTCAAAACTCTTGTTCTTCACTCACATGCTAGTAGGAGATCCTCCGATTCTTCCATGGATGATCTCTTGCTCAAATCGTGTGAGATAGCCTAGTGCAACTCTTGTTTTTCACTCACACACTAGTAGGCAGTGCACCGCTACTCCCATGGATGATCTTTGATGCAATCTTGGTGATCTGGCCTACTCAAACTCTTGCTTTTCACTCATACACTAGTAGGTAGTGCACCGCTACTTCCATGGATGATCTTTGATGCAATCTTGGTGATCTAGCCTACTCGAACTCTTGTTTTTCACTCATACACTAGTAGGTAGTGCACCGCTACTTCCTTGGACGATCTTTGATGCAATCTTGGTGATCTAGCCTACTCAAACTCTTGTTTTTCACTCACAAATCTTGTGAGATAGCCTAGTGCAACTCTTGTTTTTCA